ATTCAACACAAAAAACTTTTTTTAGAAAGTCACTTTATTTTGAAACAATGAAAAAAAAAAATACAGCAATACACTTACCAAAACACGATTAAAAAGATATTCAACACAAAAAACGTCACTTTATTTTGCATGTTTTGAAACAATGAAAAAAAACTTATTTATAGCAATACAATAACCAAAACACGATTAAAAAATTATTCAACACAAAAATCGTTTTTAGAAAGTCACTTCATTTTAAAACAATGAACAAAAAAAATATTTATAGCAATACACTAACCAAAATACGATTGAAAAATTATTTAAGACAAAATCAATAAAAAGGGTGCGAACGTGTAGGGTGCGAACGGACCCGGGGTGCGAACGTGAAAGGGGGCGAACGTGAATGGGCGCGAACGGACCCGGATTCGACCCCCCCCCACCCTGGATCCGCCTATGCATTCAACAGTATAACCAACTTCATTATCACTGTAACTTGACATGGGAAATTCTGTAGCAGATGAATAATAGTGGCCATGCTCAACCAGAGCCTGCAGAGGCAGAGCGCCGGATTTTACTACCTCCAGCTACGTTTCTCCCGAAATTTATTGCTTGCAGAGGGTTTTTCTGTGTTCCCATGGCTGGACGGAACTTTTAAACTACAAATGTTATCATAAATTATGATATTATAACTTTTAAATGAAGTACCTGTGGTTATTTAGGAAATTTGTCACTGATAATGGAAAGATGAAGCAGACGATGAAACATGGCGGAAGATGTTGTTGTCCAAACTTCGGTTATTTCCGTGGTACAATAAAATTTAAATAAACTACACCAGTTACTAAAATTTCTAAATTCTTGTTTTTGTAAACAATTAAAAATTCATGTCGTATTTAACATCGAATTTATTCCGTTCTGTCCCGTTTTTTCAGACGAGAATTTGGCAGCCATTAAATATATATGGGTTAAACTAATGTCATGACAATGTCCTGACGGACATTCCAATGCTAATTTCGTTTTCATTATTTGAAGAATTGACTTTTATATTTGGAGCCAAGCAAGAATACAATATTTATTTAATAAATATAAGGAAAAAATAAGAAAAAAATATTTTTAAGAGTTAGATAACTTGACTTGATCAACTTCGAAATTTAAAAAAAAAAAATCGTACGAGATTTAACGAGAGTGACGAAACTTTTTAGATTGATCATGTAGAGAGAGTTATCGTTCTTTATTCCAATTCGATGCTTCTACCATAAGTGCCAGCTAAAGCTGGCATATCAAGTTACAGTGATAATGAAGTTAGTTATACTGTGGTATGTGGTCACTGTTATTCCTAGCTAACAGACAAATGCAGGTGAAATTCAAAACTTAACAAAAGTTTAAAAAAAATATATATATTCAAATTCACAATCTTCTAATTTTGTAGACTGTCACTGTACTTCCTTTGACAAACTCTCAACAAATCTTGTCATTAATTATGACACATATCTACCTTAAACAGTCCCAGGAGATGGAGACTGGTTTTTTTTTCACTCTCTAAGTTTAATCATAGTAAAAGGAGAATTGAGTCTGAGTGATACATTTAGGTATAATTTGTATGCTCCCATATTGTCCAAAATTGGATTTTATGGGAATTACGAATGGAGTTATGATAACCCATGATAATACCATGACTTTTGATAGGTATAGAGCATGTTACTTGGAAGTATGTGGGCTTCATACATTCTTTGAAATTCAAGCTGCAGACACATTATTTGGAGGCAATATAAATATTTGCCTCCCGCAGTCACCTGTATATTTTATGCGTCAGTTTAAACCTGATCAAAACATTTTCACTCTGCCTAATACTTTTATCAGGTGCACATTTCAACCTATTAAAGCAATAAACAATTATGGCTATAACGTCACAGTACCCAATTTTCACGCTATGTGTATGTATGTATTCAACAAAAATAACTGCAGAAATCTTTCAAGTTTTTTTTGAGACAAAACAATTTGTATTGTTATGATTTGACATTATACACGTCTTTCAACATATGTTAATATATTTAAATATACACAAATCGTTCACAGTGAGAATAAACATGTACATGTATCAACAGATGAAGCATTCCTGGGAAAAGTAAATCTACGAAAACATCAGTGTCGTCACCATGCGAAGTTATCTAATTATCATCTTTTAAAAATGTTAGCAACTTCACAACTACAAGTTAATTTTTCATGACCAAAATAAAATAGAAAGTACAAACAAAACAGCAATAAAATGCTTCGCCAAGCACAGCCTGATACAACCACAGATGTAGATTTAGCATATAAAAAACACCAAAAATTTTATGTCAGTTGAAATCAAACATATTTTAATTTTGGACCCTTCAAACTTTAATATGGACTAATTTGAAAACAGGTATCAGGTAAGTCCAAACATTTCTATTCAGCAGCAGTCTCCAACTACATATCTCCTTAATTTCATATGATAGTCCCACAAAAATGTTGAAAATGTGTACATTTAATTTTTTTTCTAGATTCTGTCATGTCATGCATGTGAAAGCGTTACCTTTTTGGTCACTATTTATGTGTTGCGTCTAAATATGAATTGTAACACTTTATAGTGACTGACCAGGTCAAACAAATATTTCTCAAGAAACATACAGAAAAAGCACCAGCCATGCCAGACTATGTAGGAATAAAAACTCAAATCGGAATAGCATGGAAGATATGTTAGTGATATGTCCTTGTGAATAGTAAGGAAAGCTATCAATAATTCCGCAATTTTATCAGGTTTATCTACATTTTCTGTTCAAATTTTCACACAATCAGTGAATCGTTCAAAAAGGCTAAACTAACGTTTTATTACCAGATGATTACTGAAAGTTTCAAACAATGACAAGTGTTTCATTCATGAAATAACGTGTGCATTTCTGCGAAAAAAATCATGTCCAATTTTGTGAATTAAAGGGAAATAAGATCCTTTTGCGGTGCACTTGTGCATGTCAATTGCGAACTAACCCAATATATTTTCTTTATCATGACCAGTCCACTGATAATGACGTCGACATTATCAAGGACAAGGAGTACACATCAAAGGAAAAATGCACAAATTACCGATAAAATAATTTACACACACTGTTTCGTGTGTATCACCTGCCATATCAGTATTTGTTGCATTTATATATAAATGAGAAATAATCAATGTAAAAATGGTAAATTTTTGGAGAAAAAACCCAAAAATTATGGAAAAAAACAACCCGAAAATGTTGTTTTTGACCACTGACTCCTAAACTGTTGGTACCATAACCCCCAAAATCAATTCTAACCTTCCTTTTGTGTATTGAACCTTCTGGTACAATTTCATACATTGTCATAGAGATCCATTTACTTAAACTAAAGTTATTGTCCGGAAACCAAATGTGTCTTCGGACAGCAACAGCGACATGATAGCATTACTCGAAAGCAAATTTTTGACATATTCTCCATTTCGATTCTCAATTTTATTTTGCCGTCGTATAAAAACTTGAAAAGTAAGCTAATAAAACAATTTATGCAAGAAATGACATAAAACCGACTCTGAATTAGTACATGAAATTGATGTAGAAATTAACCCACAAAAAGAAGATGATCAGGAATATATTTATACTGCTGAGCAGTGTTCTCCCCTCAAATTTTAAATAACATCCTAGAAAATAGCAAAATCTTTAGATTATCAACTTAACAATCCTATTTATGGTTCCTTATATGCTTAGATGAAAATGAAAAACCTGATCAAAACATTATTCTAAACAGGCTCACTGTAAATTCAAACTCTTCTTTTAACAACCAGAATGATCCTCTTGCTGATCACATATATATGAGATGCAGGAAACTGGGAATACAATATGAACAAACAGCTTATTTAGAAAGTAAAAATAATTCAACAAACAGAAAGCGTTGTTTGCAACACTAAATAAAAAAAACAGCTACAACTTTTAGATATTGATGAAAATGATATTCCAAATCGTCCACCTTTTCATGAAAATCAACAAAAAATTAATTTAATGAAGTTATGGATTGTATAATAGTATTCATAGTTTTGAAATTAAACAAATGTCTTATTGCTTTAAATTTTGTAAAATTTGCAAAGAAAGAAAAATGGATATGAAAATGCACAAGTTAATGATTGTAAGAATTGTCATTTATATAAATCACCAATAAATTCATTTTCAGGAGAAAACAATAAGGGAGCAACAATTTAGCTTTAAAGGGGGAGGTATGGTTTTTTGTTTGAGTCAGATTTTTTACACGTGAAGCACTTCAATGCTATCAATCAAAATTATTTAGTCAAAATAAAACACTATAAGGTATGGGGAAAATCTGGATTCAGAATATTTTTTTTTGTCCTCTGCTTGAACAGAGTATTATTTGTCATCAATTTTTAAAGAAAAATACTAGTCCAAATAATTATGACATCCAGGAAGGATATTTTAAATTTTTGCTTTGACGCCTTCCTGCGACGCACCAAAGCGAAAAAAAAAAAATACCATACCCCCTTCTGCCTTTTGAAGTTCAATGATCTTTCCCTAAACATTTTCCATCTAAACTTATTATTTTATTTTAGACAAAAACTATATGTAGGACATTCGTCCTGAACATGCATGAAATATTTGCCACTGGGCGTTAAGCAAACCAACAATCAATCAATATGTAGGACATAGTTTTGGTAAGCTGGCATTCAAGGTAGCGCCTTCCTCATATTATATTTATTATATATTCTTCTCATTACTGACATTAGGGAACTTGATGCATCGAAATATGACATTATCTACCATTTGATTTTTCTCTAATGTTTCTCTCAATCGAAAAAAAAAACTCAAGAATTAAAATTTATAGAATTAGGAAGGCCTGAGAGGAGAAAAAAAATTGGCAAAACAAGCTTGGACATGAAAATTATGCTACAAGATATCTTTTTAAATAAAAAAGCAATACACCAATTAATTTTGAAACAACGCAAATTAAATTTTTAAAACACTTTAACATATTAATGTTACCATTGTTGGAAGAATACATGCTTGAACATAAATAAACTTCAATGATCGTATTTTCTATCGCTGGTTTCCAAAATTCATCTTGCAAAATTGTACCGCTTACATCATTGAAAACTTATAAACAAAAAAATATATAAATTTAATAGTGTACAACAAATGATTTACATAGATCAATTATATTTGCGTTATAAATTTAGAAACGAATACTTAATTGTTCATATTAATAACTATTTTCTTAAACCAAAATGGATTGATTAACTTACTTACAACATTGAAAACAAAATAAATAGTATGCTAAAACCAGCACAACATGTTCCGAACATATTTCTGGAATCCCCATTTATACTGATCTATACTATGTAAAATCCTGTATACATAAGAATTCCAATATCTACTGGCAAAAATTGTGATATCTAGATTCGTACCAGGGGGACCAGTATTGTACTAGATGATTAAATGACACATTAATAAAAACGTTTTGATTTACTTCATAATGAAATAAACTGACAATCGAAACTTGTCTGAATCAAAAAGAAAAGAGGTTAGGCAAAGTTCCCCTGAAATTATTTCACAGCAGAGTTTATTTCTTTAAGTCCTGTTCAATCTTTCATTTATATTCACAGTATCATAAGTTCAATAAAAGATATGTGTATTTTTCATGATTGCCGAACATTTTATCAAAAATAAAGATATTAAATAAAGATGGTCCAAACTTTTACTTTTTTAAAGAATTTTAACAGATTTTGGCAATTTTGAGTAATTATCTAAAAAATGTATATGGACCGATACCAAATGTTTATTGGAAATATCTATATATATTGTCTTTCAGATACTATATTCGTTTAGGTAAACGATTTTTGACCCTGAGAATGAATCAATACAGGGGAAATTTGCCCTACCCTCTTCATGTTAACATTTATCCCCTTATCTGCCTCCAGGCACTTGTAAGTCATAAAAGTCACGATAGCACTCATTTTATTCTAAAAACATTTTGTTGAGTAAGTGTGGTAAAAATGGACAAGCTCAACGATATTTTATACGAAATTGTCAATCTCCTAACAAGTTACCAAAACAGTATGACAGAGAAACAATTATCCGCTGAGAAAAAACCTGCAATTTTGAAGTGCTTTGATCCGTACAAGGATGTTAAACACACGATAGAACAAAATACAAACACAGAACCAAAAACTATTTCAAGAAATTAATACAGTTCTTGGTAAAAAGATTTTTTTTTGTTTGATTCGAGACATCCCTTGCAAAGAAAATTAAATAAAAAGTTTGCTACCATTCTTGAAATCAAAATGATTAATGTTTCAAAATCATCATTCAAGACAATCTTGTTAATTTGCGAATAATCTGTTTCCCTGCACTCAGTTCCATTAACCCCTTATTACTTTGGGATTTAACATTCACATTCAAGCATTTGAAGAAAAAACATAGAAACTTCGTTGACGATTGGTCTGTGCAAATGTGCAGGAAAATGTTATACAATTTGTTGTTCATATCGTAAAGTCAAAATTGGTTGCTCATCAAAATTCAGTTAACAAAATATTAGCAAATGTTTTATAAATAAAGAAAGTTTATGTATTTTACCAGATTGTTTTTGTAATAAAGTACATTTTATTATCATTTATTTTGTTTTCCTACTTACCAAATGCATCTATTCAGTAAACATATTAACACTATAAAGACTTTTTAGTCTTAGATGCATGATTTTTTTATTAGTTGTCATTGGCTTTGAACTAGCTGTCAGTAACTGCGAGTACTCTCAGATCTGTACTTAGTGTCTTTTTAGTTGCAGGGATGTATAAATACACTGCCACACCCGGTCATTGCTTTTGTTAGATGTCTTTCTACTTTGTATCAATCTGATGAGTTAAGCCCTTTCAACTGATTTTTATAGTGTATTCTTATGTTGTACTGTTACACCACTGTCCCAGGTTAGGAGAGGGTTGGCGCCTTCAAACTAGTTTAACCCAGCCACATTCAATATGTGCCTATCCCAAGTCAGGAGCCTGTAATTCAGTGGTTGTCGTGTGTTGCTGTATATCATATTTGTTTTTCGTTCATTTTCTCGTTTGAATTGTTTTACATTTTTCATATCAGGGCCTTTTATAGCTGACTATGCGATATGGGTTTTGCGCATTGTCGAAGGCCGTACGGTGACCTATGGTTGTTAACTTCTATGCCATTTGGTCTCTTGTGGAGAGTTGTCTCATTGGCAATCATACCACATCTTCTTATTTGTATATTATCTAGTACAACCCAAAACCATGCCAACAATAGGTTTCAGTAATATCCTGGAACATACTAGAAATGTATAGCAATTCAGAATCCCCCTGTACAAATCTATATATCCCAAATTTCTACTAGTGGATATTAAAATTCTGATTTGTCCGGAATTAGTATGAATCAGCCGAATTTTCATTTCTCCTAGTAGATATAAAAATTCCAATTTGTACTAAGAGGATTCGAGATCCCACTGAATTGTAATTTATATAATGTAAAACAAGAGGCGTAAGATACCAAGGGGATAATCCAAATTCATAAGTCGAGAGAATCTGACAACGCCACATGTAGCAAAAAAAACCAAAAGATAAACAATTCCAAAAATTCTATATAGTAAACTAAAAACTGAGTAACACAAACCCAACCAAAAACTATGGGTGATATCAGGTGATCTGGAAGGGTGCGCAGATCCTTCTCCACTAGTAGCACATGTCGTGTTGCTCATGGTAAGTATACAAATTATATGATGAGTCTCATTCGTGATGTCACAACAATCGAAGAAAAGAAGACGGAATAATGGTTAAGACAATAGGAACATATCCGTGTTCATCTGGGACACATATGATTGATAACGGTCAACCAAATTGTGATGGCATCCGTGAAATTTTGAATGGACAACTTTAACTTTTCCACTTGAAACCCTTTGTTCAATAGTTTACTTGTAAACAGTAACCCTCCATCAAGGAAATCGTGATAAAAAACGCAATCTTTGGAACATCGTACACATTGGGAGATATATACTCCATATCCAGGCGCTGCTGGAATCTTGCTACATAGAAATGGAAAGTTCACAATTAAAAAGCTGAAATCATCCTTTCCGTCGTAAAGTTTTGTTCTCAACCTTCCCTCATTGTCAATTTCTAGATATAAATTAAGATATGAGGTAGACCTAACTGTATCTGTGGTATCCTTTATTTCAAGTTCGATGGGATAGATGCCTTCAAGATAGTAACCAAACTTGATGGGAGAGGGTATGTTGGATAGAGACATAAATTCTGTCTTGCAACAGGTCACACATAGACCCCTCAAAGAGTTGTTGCTAGGGTTTCTTCGTGTACAGAAAGTACACCGACATCAGATTTAAAGTCTGCATTCCGACTGGACGTTTCTGCATGCGTATTTATACAACGAGCACGGCCAAACACACGCCCTCTTGAGCGTGGAAATTAATGCCTGATGATCCTCTATCATATATAGACAACACTTAGGGTGTTCTTTCACTAAAAATTATTATATTCCGTACAGATAGACTTTTTTTAAATTCACAGTAATGGATTTTTCACGATTGTAACTTATAAAACCTTCTATCTGATTTATTGACAGATTACATGAGGGTCTGGATGGGGGGTCCTTTATTTCTGTATTCTTTAATATTTTATGTCATTTTCTTCTATTTTTTTATATTTTTTGCCCATTATTCTCTATTCTGGAGGGAGGAAGATCCATGCATAGGACGGGAGATGACAACCATATTTATATTTGTACGATATCTGGTTCATACAGATTCTTCATTTATTTATGAAATAATAATAATAAGCAGAGTTTTAAAATAAACTGTACTGTTTAAATGGCATTAAATCCGATTCAAACCGCCGTATAAACCTACCAATAAAACTTTTTCTTTTATTTTCAGCAACTTATTATAAGGGGTCTTTGTTTCTATATTTTTTTTTTATGCCATTGTTCTCTTTTTTCCTTTATATTTTTTGTCCATTATTCGCTACTCTTTATTTTTTGCCCACTTTCTCTATTTTTAACCATCGTTCTCTATTCTGTAAACCTCAACACGCCCTCTTATGCCTGTCTGGGTTGCTTACACAATTTTGTCAATATGGCGGAACCATAAAAAAAAACTGTCATACAAGTGGTAGGTTTTGGTTATTTATAAAACCAGGTTGAACCCACCATTTTCTTTAGAAAATGCATATTTCAAGCCAGGAATATGACAATAATTATCCATTCGTTTTGTTTGTTGATATCGTCGAGCAGTTGGTTATGTCATGTTTTATGAACTTACACTTTTTTTATTTACCTCGGAGTTGGGTATTTTTGTCAATAATCTTTTTTACATTAAAATCAAGCTCTTCTCATTCCCGTGTTCCTTGTTTTTGGTATCTATATGCCATTAGGAAATTCTAAAACTAGTATTCGTGATTTACGATTTTGCTATTAAAATAAGAGGATGTGGTATAATTGCCAATGATAACATATATCAATGTATTTATTAAAGTTAGCTGAACACGAGTTTATGTTATTGGTTTTGTCTCACCTGCTACGAAAGTCGCAGAATACGAGACATAGGGATTACTATCCGGCGGCGGTGGCGTAAACTATTTGTATGAAGATAGCTTTTTATTTCAGAAGGTAGAAGACCTGGATGCTTCATACCTTGTATACAGATGCCTTATGCTACGAAAATTTCGTCTGTCATATGTCCATTGTCATTGACCTCTTCTTCATGGTTCAGCGACTGCTTGAAAAAAAAACTTTTTTTCGTCATCTGAAAGTATATTGGATCCTTGCAAGGTCTGCATGTCCTTCAGACATTATTAAATTATTACATCATGTTTTTCACGATTTATATGACTTTTAGCATAAACTCTTCAAAAAAGTTTTCGGTATATAATATATTTCATGGAATTACGCCTCCCATTTAAAAATCCTGAATCCATCTCTGACTTCTATCTATCCTACTCGTAGCTCTAAGTGGTTGAAAAATAAAAGATAAATATGATTAAAAAATATATCATACGGACATAAACTTGTGATGATTAATCAGATTTCAGATTCAGATTTGAGTAAAAAGTAGAT